AGGATTGGGGGAAGAGAGTTGATGATGCAACTTCACCTATCAATTCCTTTGCCTTACTCTAAATTAATAAAAATAAAGTGTAAATATTTTTGGAGGTAATTCTCACATTAAAGGCTAATTCTGAAATGTCAGGTCTGAACTTGTTCTAAAAGGATAATGGTACAATTTTTAATTTTTAAAGGGCTTCTTAATTTGATAAGCTGGTAAATTCCATTATTTACACATGAAAGAAGTAGGTTACAAAATATAATCTTCTTTCAACCATTCTGGCCTGTCAGTTTCTCCTGTCATTACTGCGTTTCGCTTTTCCCCATGTCAGGGGTTTTCTCGCACACTAGCACTTTCACTGGAACATGTAATCTTCTGTATGTGAAAGCAAGAAGCAAGCGCGTCCCAGGTAGTGGTTACATAGCTAGGACTTCTTGGTGGTCTAGTGGCTGAAGGTAGCCACTTCTACACACTTCACCCAGGAATGAATTTGCTACTGGGAGCACTGGCTCTAGAAGAATGCACAGCTTTTTAAGAGTCTCACCTGGAGCTCTGAGATGAGAAGAGGATGGTCTGTCGGCGGAATCCATCCCACAGTCAGGCAGGTGCAGGTGCTATCGGGAAATAAAGCCTCCTGGCAGACAAGTCCCTGCTTTTAAATAAGACCTTTGTGGTCTGTTTAGCATCACTGGGCAGAGAGACTCCATCCACATCTCCCTGCTCATGGTATGAACTGAAATAACTTCATGAGGTTTGGACTCACACAGACACAGCCAGGCAATCTGCTGCTCATACAAATGTAAATGTATTCAGATCCCTGTGAAAGCTGCGTTTTGTGAGCAGCAAGTCTTCTGATTTATTAATCTTTTCTGTTAGTGCCAAGACATACACACTTCCTCTTTCTCAGTTCTGTGAAACACAAATCTGCTAGGGAGCAGTGAGGCTGACAGACAGGAGTCACTGCGCTAAGGGAAGTGTTTCTCCTTGATTCAGATGCCATGGCTGACACCGGTGTCGTTTCAGGAGTGACGGGGTGGGGGCAGATGTCTGTGAATGAGCAGGCTGCAGGTGTCACCTCCCGGCGGATCAGGAGACAGAGCACGAAGCAGGTGATGACAGCGGGACCCCAGGCCTGGGGGTCTGGCTTTGCAACTCGGTACACCACTTTCTAGCTTCATCCAGTTGAGCAGGTTACTTTATTAATCTGTCTTCACAGCAGATACTACCTATGAGAAATGAGGATAAAAATAGGATCGATGTAAGAAGATTTTCTGATGGTTGATTTAAATTATACATAGTTCATGCCATTTATTATTCCTTCCACAAATATCTTTGTAAATAACACTACAGTTGTCTACTTAATAAGCTCAAGATATTGTATAACCTATTTACTAACTTACTGCAATTCTATAAAGAAAATACTTGACACTGGGCAATTTACAAAGAAAAGATGTTTATTTGGCTCCTGGTTCTGCTGACTGTCCAAGAACCTTGGCATAGCATCTGCCCTTGGGGAGAGTTTCAGGGAGCTTCCAGTCAGGGCAGAAAACAGAGGGGCGCAGGTGTGTCGCGTGCTGAGAGAGGGAGGAAGAGGGAGCTCGCACTCTTAAATGACCCGCTCTCCCAAGAACCAGCAGAGCAGCGACTCAGGCAGCATCACTGGGAGGCCTGGAGCCATTCGTGAGGGAGCTGCCCGAGGACCGAAGGTCTTACCCCAACAGTGGTTAGTAAACTTCAACACAAGAATTAGACAGGCAAATCTCCCAACTGTATCAGTCACTAAAGCACCCAGTTTGGGGACATTGTTATAGCCTGAAGAATTTGGAAAATATTAGGTAATATGCATTAAGGAAAAGTATCAGTAATATGCTTCCAAGTATTTGCTTCTTCAACGGTTAAAAATGATTTGTTGCCAGGTCCTTTGATTCGTGGTGCAGGCGTCTTCACGATACTTCAATTCCCATGGAAAACTTATATTTGTATGAGTCCACAAGTAGCTAACTGAGCTACGTAATTACATAGGGGAAAGCAGAAAGCAGTTTTTCTTAAACAAATAGTAGAAACCTACCTGACTGTAGCTTGTGTTGCCAGACGGCCGGTGAAATGCAGCAGCGCAGCCGTGGCTTTCTGCACAGCCGGAGCCTCTGTTCATAGTCCACCATCAAGTAACTAATTGTGAACATGCTATTCTACTCAGGATTTATGGTTTGCAAACTACATAACCCCTGTAAAGAAAACTGAGTTAAGAAGGGCTCGCATGTCAATCTTTTTGCTTTAGGCTGCCTTGGAATTGCAGAACACAAATTGGGTGAACATGCAAGTTCTGCACATTAAAAATTGATAAGAGGACTATGAAATTACGTGATGAGTGAGAACGATTCCTGATTGTTGTGTAGGTAACGTTGCTTCGTTTGACCTCACTCGTGGCTCCAGGAGGGGGACAGGGCAGGAGCTGTTCTTACTTTCTCCTTGGGGGTTAGTGACTGCGGCTCTGGGCCATCAGGTAGCTGTCTAAGACTCACCTGTGCATGTGCACAGGGGGAGGCATGAACCCAGGGACAGCTGGCCCAGGTTTGTTCCCCTTACCGCTGTGTATGATGTGCTCCCTGAGAGGGAGAGGATGCAGGCACAGTGAAGGGAAGGGAGGCGGCAGGGAGGGGTGAGGAAAGGGGGTTTACACAGGCAGGGCGCTGGAAGCAGGAGGAGAGGTGGCTGGAAGGAGGATAAAGAGGCTGGAAGGCTGGGAGCAGGGGTCACAGGACGCAGGGCCAGTAGTGAAACTGGACGTCGGTACAGCGTGTAGCTGTGCTAGTTAGTCCTCCAGGATTTATTTTGGTGGTTGTGTAGTTGTTTCTTCTTGGGAAGTAGCCTCTCTAATTGGCTTTATTCTCTGAAGTTTTACTTGTTTTTCTTCTTATTTATATAAGTCTTTGTTTTCCTGTGGAATATAGTTTCTGTTTGTGCTTTAAGTGACTAGTTTTACACATGCCCTTCATGCCTCTATGTTTAGTCAGCCCCCCCTTGTCTGATTTTGCATGACTGCGTTGAAGAGACTCCTCAATGATTAGAGAACTACATACTCTTTACTCTAGGGATAGAAAAGATTTAATCCACTATAATCCACTGCTCAAAAATCAGCTGACATTCTAGTTAGAAAGTAAATTTTCCAATATAAATATCAATCTGTCTTAGCTGGTCCTATAGCAGAAAAATCAAGAGACTTAGATTTCTGTACTATTAACCTTTGGGTTTAACCCTAACAGGAGACTGGATTTTTGTGAGCAATTCTAGTTTTCTCTGCCTTTATTTTTCTGTTACTGAAAATCAAGGGATGTCCCCATTGCTCCTGTTAGGTTCCCCAGGTATATTCTGAAATGTAATTTTGAGAACGAATGACTCCACAAAAATATAGACTCGTCCCAGCTATACCATCATCTGGCTTAGTTCTGTGCTCATTTAGGTGGAACTGCAGTGCCTCCTCGAATCCTTCCCTGTGGGATTCTTTAGATCAAAGCATCACTACTGGGTTTTAGCACCATAATTCTGCCAATCCCAGGGCCTGAACTGACAGCTCTCCTGCAGATGAATCCCATTCACAGGGGCAGGAAAAGGTGCCTCGTGTGCTCATAATCTTTTACCTCGTGGAAAAATAGGAGAGGAGATGATAGCTTAAGACTAAAGAATCAGATTTTGGAGCACAGGGGCTACAGTATTCGTGAGCTGGACCCGCTCAGGCCTGTCTGCCGCTCTCCCACCACACGGCTGTGTGGCTTTCAGCAAGTTCTCTGTGGGCTCCCAGTTCCCTGGTCTCTAATAGTTGGGAATGAGAGTATTTAGGGGGTTTCAAAAATCTGCACTCAAGAATCCTTTGTCATTTTCAAAGCTAATCTTCTAGGGAGCCCTCAAATGTAAACGAAAGCCACCTTGACTGCGGCTGGGTTGGCGGGAGCAGGGTCCCCTCCTAAGCTTGCGGAATTCATCTGTGCATCCTAATTGTGAAGTCGCTAGGCTAAATGATTTTAAGGGTGTTTCCATGTGTGAATGTATTGAGGTCTGTATTTCAGTATAAATAATCTAATTTGCTTTTAGTAGCAGACTCTCTCATTGCTAAAAACCTCAGGTTGATACTAACCACCCAAACTGTTCAATCCAGTATGGAATACGTGTGGTTTGGTCTTTTGTCCTTCTGATGAGGAGGACGTTTACTTGTCACTTTCATATGAATAAATGGATGAACAGCACTCAATAATTTTGGCAATTTTAAAACTCTTCACAGTATGACCTTACGAGAAGGCTAAATGTCTTTTGCAACTTAATCGATGGCAAAACGAAAGTCTTGCAGCTTTGCTAATACAGTAATGATATTTATTTCCATACCCGAATTTTTGTTAGTGTATATAAAGACATGCTTACCTAAATACTTTATTTAACTTACGTTGTTTGTCTGTACCTAGTTTAAATCATAGCCTAGCTTCACAAAAAATGGAAGAAGTTTACAGGCCTCTCCTCTTTCAAATGCAAATAGTTATTATCTATCCCAGCAAAGCAAGGAAGCCAAAAAGGAAAAAGCATCTTTGCCAAGGTTAACCTTTCCCTTAGACTGTGTGGGGGTAAAGCTTTTGTTCCTTAGAAGAAGAAAAGAGACATCATGATGACATCTCCAGCCTGCGGGAGCACCAAGGAACGCACAGTATTCCAGCTTTAACTAAGATCACTTGGTCTTCTTGGAAATGTTATTACTTATCAGGGAATTTGACACATTTCATAAGTATAATGTTTAGTTAGAAATTAACACGATCGAGGTGATTTGATATCCCTGCCCTAATTTGGACTCTCAGATCCTACCACACTGCCCCACCCCACGACTACCAGAGACACGTGGGCTGGTGACAGATCTGGGCGGCCCTCTCCGCACTGCCCACAGATCACACTAGATTAACCTCCCACATCAGATGCTGTGCATTTGTTGCTAGATTTTATGTGTTGACGATGCCTGAAATAAAATATTTCAGATCCTTCAGAAAAAATTTACAGCCTAACCTCAGAAGAGCTACCAGCTTTCAGGGGCCATTCAGTGGACATGAGTCAGATTTCCACGGCTCTCCTTGAGACCTCAGAGGCAAGGGGGCCCTGTGGAGTGGAAGAATGGAGGTAAGTTAAGCCTCAGTTTATATAGAAAGATACCGTGTAATAAAACTGTGAGGAGCCCCAGCTCATCATCTTTCCCATATAAAGTTCATTTTTGGGTGTGAACATCATGTGAACCTTCTTTTTATGCTGTCTGGGTCCTCTGCTGACCTAGTGTCAGGTTTGTTAGTGAAAGGCTTATAGAGTCATCCCTTTAAGGGGAGGAAATAGTTCACTCTCTGCAAAATGTATATTGTGAAAATGGAAAGATATTTGGAATTTGATAATCCTCACCATTTCTTCTTATATTGAAAAAGAACAGTTGCCTTGCTGAATTAGTTAGCTTAATACTGAATTAATTAACCCAATAATTTCAATATTTTGTATTAATGGAATATTAGCCAATGTAAATAAAGTTTTTAGACTAGAATATTAAGTTTCTTTCTTGAAATTGAGCCTGAGTAACAATATCATATTTTAATTTGCATAATTTTGTTCTTTCCTCAAGTAAGGGATGTCTACCAGTTTATAAGGAACATGGGCAATGTTTATAAATGCTTTGGAAAAGTAGTCCACTGTGCCAGTCTTTGTTGGCAGACTGTAACTCCCTGAGGAGGGCAGGGGCTTCTTGTAGAAGGACTCAAATAAATGTAAAGTAAAAATTGTTTATGTTATAAATTCCTTTTATTGGTTTGAAGTCTAATTCTGCAGTAAAGGGAATCAAGAGTTATTTTTTTCTGACGGAGGAAGTAATTGAGTTATGGTTCTTGGATTTCTTCATGTCCAGCGCCATCCATGTAAAGAATGGATGGATGGAAGGCTGCTATTTTTGTTTCTCCAATAATGTCATTAAAGGCTAACCTACACGTACACCCACCATCGTTTCCTAAAACAAAAGGCATTTAAAGGCACACTGAAAATATGGAGGGCACATACTAACACAATAAAGCACATTTCTTAAACATTAGAAATATCACGAAAATGTCACTACCTTATCCTTACATCCTCCTGAAGCAGTGAAAATCGTATCGCATGTCTGCACTGGTCCGCAGGTGAGAGCGTACGATCTGATTTAGACTGTGCTGGGCATAAAACATAATCTGAAGAACAGTTATTTCTATCACAAGGGGAAATATTCGGAATTATTCAGTGGCATTTACTCCTATGTATCTTTAGGACCAAAAAAGCTGAACTGTGTTTGTTTTTCTCTGTTCTCTCACACTACCTTTGTCAAAGCTTGGACACCAGTGTTCTAGAACTCCCCTGGTTCCTCTCACCCCCAGCAATGCAGCACAACACGACGCAACACAACACTAAACACACAACACGATACCACACAATACACACCACAGAATGCAATATAACATGATACGATACGATACATTACAACACAATAACAAGTAAGTGCTGCCATTAATTTTTGTTTGGCATATCTTGACCAGCTATCTGTGTACTCCTAATTTACTGTACACAAACGAGGCGATTTTGTCTGGCAGTCTACTCCTCAGGATTCTATTAAATGGCCCGTGTAATGATGTATGTTCTTAGCGATGACCTGAGGCTCAGCAAGTTTCCAAAGTGCCTTCTGAGTCATCAAAGGACACAACCAGAGAGCACAAAACCTCTCCTTAGTTCCACTGTGGCTTCATTTCTCAGGAAAGGGAGAATGATGAGAATTTCTCATTAAAAGGAGAATTGGTGTATGGGGCACATTGAAAATTACGGCCGCCATAGTCCCCTCACACCTGCTGGCTTCCAGTAACTCCCACGTGTGCAGTATTGATCAGGAGAAAAATGAAGAATTGAAAACTGGCTCTGTATACTGTGTATTGATCCCGTGATGTATTTTCAGCTCTTCAGGAAGAGATCATGAAATTCAGTCTTCGTTCTACTTTTCTGAGAGCAGTACAGATGAAGAGGAAGAAGAATTTCTTGACAAGCACCATGTCACCACACTGCCGTGGTCAAAGAGCACTTCATGACTATTTGTTCATTACTTTTTCCATTTTGTACCTAGAGTAAAGTAAACAACTGAAAAAAATAACCAAGTCATTCTATGTGTTTAGGCATAAGACATTTCAATTATTAATGTGTCTGATGTTTCAAAGCTTAAAAACTAATAAAAGCCAGTAAAATTACAAGTTTAAATGATTTTTCTTTCAAATGATATATTGTATGTCAAGCACTAATCAATATTTCAGATGATAGTAAAACTTGATGAATTTTCAGGAAAAAAACAGATATAACTCTGTCTTTAAAATCTACCATAGAATAGAAAATGGTTGTATTTAAAATAATATTCATTGCTCAGTTATATTTTAAATGATTATGTCAGGGGTGGGGACCAGATGTCAGTCAGATCTCTGCACCCTGGTTCTCTCGGTTCTTATACTGAAAAATGCTTACTGGTGCTGGGTCGATGGAACACATGAGCAGACCAGCAGGTGCAAGCAGGCACAGTACCAATGTTTATTAAAGCACTGAACATAGTAGAGAAAGGATAGTGCCCTCTGGAAGTTGAAAGAGAGCTCCAGTAAGGAACAGCACCTCCCCACGGTGAGGGCCTGTGCTTTTATGCTAATACCTAATAATATGCTAAGTTATTGATGGAATATTCATGAGTTTTCTGGGAAAAGGGGTGGAGAGTTCCCAGAACTGGGAATCTTCCCCACTTCTTAACTTTATAAGGCAAATTCTGAGGGTTGCTGTGGCATTTATAAACTCATGGCTCTGGTGGGTGTGATTTTTACTATGTTAATGAGGCGAGTAGTTCACTCATGTGATCATGTCCCCACTTTGTGGTTTCTCTGTGTCTTTCTGTTGGTCAGTCCTTGGAGATCCTGGGTCATAGACTAAGCATCTGGTCAGTGCTTAGAAGGCCCCTTGGCAGGTCATCTGCTTCTTGGAAGCCCCACCTGGTCAATTTGTTCCTCCTACTGCAGACAAAGTGTCTCCTGATGCCATCTGCTCCTCTCCTCCCCATCCCTGCCTAACAACTATGTCGTCAGCCAAAGTATACATTTGACAGCCAACACATACCAGTCAGGATCATCAAATAATTCCATAATTATATTTTATCTTCGGGCTTTTGATATTTATAAAAATTCTGGTAGCTTAAAAAATTGATGCTGGGAAAATAAAAGAAGATCCAAAACTAAGTGGATGTAATATTTGCCACATTTTGTTCTAGTAAAACACAGGAAAGTCTCAGAAAAATCATCTTCTCAGAGCTCCAGATAGTGATTAATTCTATGTGTCAACCTGGCTGGTCAACAGTACCCAGGTCTTTGGTCAAACATTACAGTTGACATTAGCAATGCCAACCCCCTGCATAGTCAAAAATCATAGTAAAAAAAATCTTTTACTTTTGACTTCCCCCAAACTTAACTGCCAATAGTAGTCTGTTATTGACTGGAAGCCTCACTGATTATGTAAATAGTCAGTTAATATACAGTAGAGCCTCCACAGCCGGCCACCTCCCTACACCGACAGCCTCCTTCAGTTGACCTAATGTTCAGAGACAGGACCAGCATCTCATGTACCTGCCAGTCCAAGAGGGCTCCTTCCTCATGCTGACCACCTCCACCTGTTGACCAGTTAGTTGTAGTCCCTTGGGTGGTCAACTCGCAGAGGTTCTACTGTATTTTGTATGTTTTATATATTATATACTATCTTCTTACAATAAAATGAAGAAAAGAAAAATTACTAAGAAAAACACATGGAAAAGAAACTTTCTTTACTATGTATTGAGAGTGGATCATCATGAAGATCCTTGTCATCTTCCCCTTAGACAGGCTGAGGAGGGGGAGAAAGGGCAGGTCCTGGTGTCGGTGTCTCGGCAGTGGTGGAGGCGGAAGGACATCCCCCTATGAAGTGAGCCCATGTGGCCCAAACCTGTGGTGGTCAAGGGCCCACTGGATTCCAGATATTTCTGTGAAGACATTTACATGAGGTTAACGTTCCATCTGCTTAACTCAATCAGTAGACGTTGAGTTAAGCAGATTCCTCTCCATAGGATGGGTAAGCCTCATTCAAATAGCTTAAAGGCCTTAAGAAAAAACACAAAAACAACTGAGGCACTCCGAGGGGAAGGGAATTCTCTCTTCAAACTTCCTTCAGTCGTGAGCTGCAACATCATTTCTTCCCTGCATCTCCAGCCTGCAGACTAACCCTCTGAAGATTTTGGACTTTGTAGCCCCATAACTGCAACTAGC